CAGTCCCTAGTCTGTAGCAGTGCATGGGATTCTTCCGTCCTAAGTGCAGGACTCTGCACTTGTCCTTGTTGAACCTCATCAGGTTTCTTTTGGCCCAATCCTCTAAAATGGCCCTGAATCAGCCCAGGAGGAAGCTGGACAGGGAGGTGCACTGCAACAGTGGGGCCTATTTCCACTCCCCCTGGTATCCTGTCTCCAGGCAGAGTTGCTCCTTCACAGAGCAGCAGGTGCTGGCCAGGGTTCTCTGCTCAGAGTCCCTGTCGGGTGCCCTCATTTTGACCTTCCCCCCCATCCCTGTTTTCACAGGGCTGGAAGGGAGCTCAAGAAGTCATCAAGTCCCTGCCCCAGTGTAGGGGGCTGACCAGTACATCTAGACCATCCCTTACAGCTGTTTGTCCAACCTGCTCTTAAAACCCTCCAGTGACATGGATTCTACAAACCTCCTTTGGAAGCCTGTTCCAGATCTTTAATCTAATTTTCAGCGTAGTTAAGCTTTTCCTAATATCTAACCTAAATCTCCCTTGCTGCAGATTAAGGTAATTACTTCTCTTCCTACCTCCAGTGAACATGGAGAACAATCGATCCCAGTCCTCTCTATAACAGCCCTTCCCGTATTTGAAGACCATTGTCTGGTTCCCCCTCAGTTTTCTTTTCTCAGACTAAACACGTCCAGTTTTTTAACCTTTCCACACAGAGCAGTTTTCTAAACCTTTGATCATTTGTGTTGCTCTTCTCTGGATTCTTTCTAATTTGTCCACATCTTTCTTAAAGCGCGGTGCCCAGAACTGGACACAGGACTCCAACTGAGGCCTCCCTAGTGCCGAGCAAAGCTGGACAGTTACATCCAACACTCTTGTTAGTACACACCAGAATGATATTAGCCTTTTTTACAACTGCATCATATTGTTGACACACTCAATTTGTAATCCTCTATAAGCCCAGATCCTTTACAGCAGAATGACCACCTAGCCAGTTATTCTCCATTTTGTAGTTGGGCATTTGATTTTTCCTTCCTAAGTGAAGTACTTTGCATGTGTCTTTACTGAAATTCATCTTGAATTCAGACCAATCCTCCAATTTGTCACGGTCATTTCAGACTCTAATCCTCTCCTCCAAAGTGCCTGCAACCCCCCGTTTGGTGTCATGTGCAAATTTTATAAGCTTACACTCCCCTCCATGATCCAAATCATGAAAATACTGATGAGTACCAGACCCAAAACTAACCACTGCAGGACACCACACCATTGGAACTACTCTGAGTACCATCTTTCAACCAGTTGCGCACCCACCTTTCCCTAGTTTGCTTATAAGAGAGGATCACATGGGACTGTGCCAAAAGCCTCACTAAAAATCAAGATACACCATGTCTATCCCACCACCCACTAGGCCAGAATGGGTTAATGGATTTTAAGTGAGGGGGATGAACCATTGGTACAGCTTCCCAAGGGGTGTGGTGGTTTCTCCATCACTGGAGATCTTTAAAAAAAACCAAGCCTGGATGTTTTTCTAAGGACGCTCTCTAGTTCAGCCACAGCTACTGCATCTGGGGACTCCTGTGTTGTGCAGCACATGAGCACAGCGGTCTCCTTTAGCCTTCCATGAAGAAAAGCAGCAGCTATTTCTTGTCATCTCTTTGGCTTGTTACACAACATGAAGAAAGCCACCGTTGGGTCCCAGATAAGCCTGTTTCCCAACTATGAACACAACATGCCAGGGCTAGTCACCTATGGCCTGCTGCTCTAACAGCTTTCAAAACCTTGGACACCATGGGAGCCAGTAGTCCAAAGGGATACTGTCCTGTTCCCATATGCTACAATTACCACCATCTAGGCTGCATAAACGCAGGCCAGATAACCCACTTGGTGCTTTGTGCATCAGGCAGGTTCGTGTCTATCTGAGCCAATGCATCTCTTGTAGAAAGACATCCAGGCTCAATTTGGAGGGATGGAGAATCTCCCACAGCCCTACATGAATGGGCCCTGTGTTCTCAGGGCTAAAAATTCACACTTCATGGCTAATCAGAATTTGGCTGGCTTCAGCTTCATTGATCTCATTCGGACTTTGGCTGCTAGATTAGAGAGTCGTCTACTACCAGAAGTCTCCTCCCCGCTTAGGGCCACTGGAATATTTTTGTCTCATGATATGCAGAACCACAGTTCATCTCCAACAGGAGGCATTTACTGAACTGCAGACAAGCCTTCACTTAGCTTGTGTCCCACTTCTGTCTCCGTTGTTTACCAGGGACCACTCCCTGCCTGGAACACTGTGCAGTTCAGGGACATCTAGTGGCTGAACAACATACTGCCAGCGAACATCCCACCACTCACTAATGAGAGAGAAAATTCAGAAAGGTCTCTAACAGAGTCTGTTTCCGTCTCATCTCAGGCTCTCCCAGGAGCTGCCTCTGATCTGAGACTGTTTTCCTCTGGGAGTTCCCCTAGTTTCAGTGACTCCTGCTACCATCCCTTCTCATGCTGTTATTAGTGTGATTACATCTGATCACATTAGATCAGGTACCACACACACCCTGCACATGCCACTGCTTGCTCCAAGCGGGCTGGGGGTCCCAAGGGCAGTACCTTGACTGGTCAGGAGCCATCCCACATGGAAGTTTCATCCAGACCCCAAAAGCCAGCCTTCCCAGCCCCACCATATGCCCCCTGCTGGGTATCCTGGGGCAGGTTCTTTACCCAGCCCCTCCCACATCTATCCCCATAGTATCAGGAGCAGCCAGCGTGCAGCCGCAGGCAACTCCATACCATACCTGGAAGGCTTGGCCGATTCTGGTTTCTCAGGCTTCACTGAGGCCAACTTTGGGACTAGAAACAGGAAGAGAGAGAGATACTGACAGCTTCAGCGCCAGGAGACGGGAGGTTACTGATGAGGCAACTGGGCAGGTAGGTTAGTGCCAGGGGAACGGGAGTCCCAGCTCTGGGATCCAAGGAGTCAGGGCACACAGGAGGGGGCAGCGCCAGCTTCCCCATCAATGCAGTTGTTCTACCCTCCCTGGAATGGGATTCAGTCTTGGCCCCTCCTAAGACTGGCCTCTCTGGCAGAGGGGCTGGACCCCATGGCCATGGGAGGACAGGCACCATGACCTGCCACACTCGCTGCATGCAGGGGCCTCTCAACCACCCTGGCTATCACTGGTGCAGGGGAAACCAGCAGTTCTATCCTGGGATGTGTGTGTGGGGGAGAGACTAAGGGGACCCTCCCCTGCTAAGTGCTTTACCAATCGTGCCATAGCAGGGCATTGCCCTGCCCCTAAAGCCGGACAGGATGCCACAGCCTGGCTCCCTTATCAGCAACACCAACCCCGCACCCCAGTCTCTCAGAGTCCTGCCAGCTGTTTTATCAGGGGGTTCCCATCACAGCCCAGCACGCTCCTCCCCCCTTCACTATAGATTCACAGTGAGATCCCCCCCTCCAGCCACTCCCCCCCCCCCCCCGCCTTAGCAGGGGAATCTCCCTACAGCCTATCAGTCCACAGGGGCCTTAACCACCCTGGCTCAGGACAAGGGGCTCAGGAACAGGCCCTAAGGCACCTGTAGGCCTCAGGGATGCCTGGTGCCACCCACTAGGGTTGCCAATTTGGGTTGGACGTATTCCTGGAGGTTTCACCACATGACAATCTTTAAAGATTGGACTTTTTGTGTCCTGGAGACGCCAAGACAATCCTGGAGGGTTGGCAACCCTTCCTGCTGTTGGCGGGAAGGCGAGGAACATACCCAAGGCCATGGTTGGAACCGGCGTCTTCCTCATGCCCTTCGGCTGCCCGGCCTTGCCCGGCCCAGCCTTCTCCGGAGGCTTTGCCCCGCTCTCACCCACTGGCTTCCTGGCCACTGTTTTGGCCGGAGTGGGCTTGGTAGAGGCAGCACCAGCTTTGGGTGCTGATGCTGCCGCTGGCAGCTTCCTCTGCGAGGCTTCGGCCCTCGGGGGCACCCCATTGCTGAGCAGCTTGGAGCCACCACATGGGGCCGTGGGCGGGCGGGCGTGGTCCGTCACAGGCCGCCTAGCTCCAGGGACGGGGGCTGATCTCACAGTGTTCTTGGCAGGCTTGGGTTTTGCTGCAGGCTGGCCAGCTGCTGGCCCTTTCCCAGCGGTTGCCGTGCCATTGGTCTGGGGAGGGGGGACCCCATTGGCAGTAGCTTTGCCATCCATCTTGTCCCAACCAGGTGCTGGGCAGACCGTCTGCCCCCGCCGCGGTGATGGAGAACAGTCAAATCCTCTTCTGCCACTGAGCTAGAACTGAAAGAGACAGATGTTAATTGCGAGGGACTAATTCCACCCCACTCTGCAGCACCACCAACTAAAGCTTTGCCTCCCCATTGCTCTCTGGGAGGGAAATCGCTACTAGTCCAGAGCTCAAACCTACTAGCCAGGGACAGAGCTGAAAGATCAGCACCCAACAGCACACCAGGTCAGAAGCCCTGACCTCCCCAGACCTGATGGGAAAGGCCCATCCCCGCCCTTTGTCCATTGATCCCTATCTTCCCTGGCCACCTCTGGCTAGTAGCATCTGAAGCATTCCAAGCACCAGGAAGAGGGGATCTCCCCCACCAGGTCTCTTAATAGTGGAGTGTCTTATACCCTCCCCCTCCCCCCATCCCCCATGAATAGCTCCAGCCCTGACATCCTCCTCCTGCTCAGCCTTGCCAAGGGGCACAAAGCAGAGAGTGCCGGTCACTTTCATGGGTGCCCATGGGCAGAGCAGCTGTGAAACTGACTAGAGCCCAAACAGGTCTCTATGGTTAGGCAGAACCATGAACAGCAGAGGCGGCACAGAGCTGCCTGAAGGTTCAGGAAGGTAGTGCTGCATTGGGAAAGACTTACAGCCTTAAGCACAAGATTCACTTAAAGTACAAAATTAAATTCGGCAGCAATTGATGTCTCAACTGCCCGTCCCTCCACACAGGAAGGGTTCCCACTCTTTTGGAGCTCTGGACTCCGAGATCTCAGAGCATTTTACAGTTTGAATGCAATTTATCTGCAAACCCCATCCCCTGCAAGACAGGCCAGCTTCATCCCTATTTCACAGCTGGGGAAACTGAGGCACTGCCAGGGTGGGGATTTGCCCTGAACAACACAGCCAGTCCATGGCTAGCTGGGAATACGCCTTTGCCCAACCTGCTTGGATGGGGAGATTTTTCCCCAGAAGGACTCAAGTCCCTAAATCCCCTTGGATTTAAAGGGAACCCAGATCTCCTGGGATGCAACTCTGATAGCATCCGACCCCAAAACTCACAAGGAAATCCACAAGCCCTTGTGCTTACCAGCTATTATTTACCTCCCCAGAAAACTCTGGAGCTATTAATTCTACTAAGTGGCTGGAATACATTTGAGCAAGAGCAGTTACATAAGAGCAGTTACGTTATAGGCAGGGAGCCCGTTCCCTATTTGCTGCCTGGGCTGCTCAGTTCTAACCAGTGCTCTGTGGACCCTCAGCCAGCTGGTCTCCACAGTGCACACCCGCACTCCACGATCACAGCTTTCAGCCAGGAGCTCAGACTCACATTCAAGAGGAAATAACCACCCAGGAGATGAGTGGTGCTGGCCCCAGTCCAGTAATGAGCAAACTAAGAGCGGTTACAGCCAGGGCTTCTTAGTCATTGGTGGCCAAAACGGGGAGATCCAGTTTGAAAAGGCTCCTGAGAATAGAGTATTTCATGCCCTGAATCCCAGGGGGTTTCCTGCTCTGTCTAAACTAGCGCTTAAAGGTGCAATGCTGGGATGTTGGCCCCAAATATGTCAATATCAGACCTCTTCAGTGTTGCCAAGCCCAAGTATGCAGAAATCATGAGATCAGCTTAAGAATTTACACATCTGAGGTGGGATCTGGGTCTTCTGGTTTGAGCCTGTAGTGCTACGGTTGCCAACTTTCTATATCGCACAAAACCCAACACCCCTTCCCCCATGGCCCCAGCCCTACTCACTCCATCGCTCACTGTCCCCCACCCTCACTCACTTTCACGGGGCTAGGCAGGGAGTGCAGGCTCCCAGATGGGGCCAGGGACGAGGGGTTTGGGGTGCAGGGGTATGGGAGGGGATTCTGATCTGGGGCACGGGGTTGGAGTGCAGGCTTCAGCCAGGTGGTGCTTACCTCAAGCGACTCCCAGTTGGCGGCAGAGCAGGGCTAAGGCAGGCTCCCTGCCCTGACTCCAAATAGCTCCCAGAAGCAGCTGGTGTGTCCGGCTTCTACATGCAGGAGCTGGGGGCTCTTTGCACTGCCACACACCCTCAAGCGCCACCCCCACACCTCCCATTGGCTGTGGTTCCTGGCCAATGGGAGTTGTGGACCCAGTTCTGGTGGGTGGGAGCAGCACGCTGAGCTTCCCTGATTGCCCCTCCACCTAGGGGCCACAGGGACATGAGGGCCGGTTCCGGGAGCCATGTGGACTCAGGGCAGGGAGCCTGCCTTAGCCCCGCTGTGCCACTGACTGGACTTTCATTGGTGTTGACCGGAGCCGCCAGGGTCCCTTTTTGACCGAGCGTTCTAGTCAAAAACCGGATGCCTGGCAACCCTATGCAGCCCTCATGACAGCAGAGAAGAGCTTAGATGTGTGACATCTAGAGCAGTGGTCTCCAAACTTTTGATTGCGCACGCAGGGCCGGTGCTACCATTAAGGCGAACTAGGTGGTTGCCTAGGGCACCAAGATTTGGGGGCACCAAAAAGCGGTGCCCCCATTTTTTTTTTTTTAAAAACAGCGTTCCTCCCCGAGCATGTGATCACCACTCCACTTCTCCCCCCTCCCAGGCTTGCAGCGCCAATCAGCTGATTGGCGCCACAAGCCTGGGAGAGGAGGAGAATTAGAGCAGGGGCGGCGTGCTCGGGGAGGAGGCGGAGCAGAGGTGAGCTGGGATGGGGAGCTGCCGCACGGGCACCCGGGGCTGGGGAAGGGGGGTGCCTCGAGGGCGGGGGGGAGCGTGCCGCACGGCACCCCGGGCTGGGGAAGGGGGGTGCCTCAGGGCGGGGGGGAGCTGCCGCAGGGCTCCCCACCCCAGCTCACCTCTGCTACGCCCCCTCCCCGAGCATGCCATCGCTGCTCCACTTCTCCTGCCTCCCTGGCACCACAAGCCTAGGAGGGGAGGAGAATTAGAGCAAGGGCGGCGTGCTCGGGGAGGAGGTGGAGCAGAGGTGAGCTGGGATGGGGAGCTGCCGCAGGGCTGGGGTGGGGCGGCGCGCAAGGTGGAAAAAAGCACGCTCCTCCTTCCGTGCACCTCCAAGGATCCTCTTGCACACCCCACTTTGGAGACCACTGCTGTAGAGCTTAATTATAAATGAGAGCTGATATTTGTACCCGAGGCCACTAGCTGAGGTTTTAAGCAATGCCAGTTGTCACAAAGCCTTGTCATCAAATCGCAAGTGTTGGCAACCCTGTTATCCAGGGACAGTCTTGAGTCAGGAGGTGGGTCTCAATCGGGTTAACACAAGAGTTCGCTCAGTGATATTGAAAAGCCACGTCAAGGCACTGTCTAGTGTGTTTGGAGGCATGTTAGTGGCTTAGGCCCAGACACAGCCTGCATCACCCGACCCTGTCTGCACAAAAGCTGCCCCTGGACGGGTTAGCTCAGCAGGAGGCTGATAAATGTCAATGGCACACGTTCACACGACACCACTTGAACCAGTGTATTTGGATCAGTAAGGTAGGGTTACCATATTTAAAAAAAATAAAAAAAGAGGACGCTCCACCAGGCCCTGCCCCCCACCCTTTCCCACCCCCAGCCCCGCCCCAACTCCGCCCCTTCCCCAAAGTCCCCACCCTAATTCCCCCTCCTCCCTCCCAGCCACGTGAAAAGGGCTGCCCAAGCACTACCGGCTTCACGG